AGGAATTCATCTTTTTTACCGCATATTGCATAAACTTCGACCATAGAACAACCTTTTAAGTCCATTTTACTGGGTCATTACCTATTATTTAATGGACATGGGCAAATGAACAAGATAAATAATAAAAAGGGTATTAGGTGGTTTAAGTGTGACCGTTCGATTTTTTGCGAAAAAACCGCAAATTTAGAGGTCTAGGTTCGCAGTATAAATAAGTTGAGTAGATTTATGTTTGTCAGTGCAATATTGATATCGATCTTTGTTGTGTGTTTTAAAACGATCTTCGTGATGTCTTCTGTGGTAAGTTCTTACAATTATAGCGATCAACTTCTCGAATTTATTAAACCTTTCTTCAGATCTTCGCCCTATTATCACTAGTCTCCGTGTGTTATGCGGGGGTAATTTATCCAGAAGAACCCAGTTACGTCGCCTACGAGGCTCCAATCTACAATGTAGCCGCGCCTCTCTATGAAAAAGAAGACCACCATGTAAGTAGGTACCAAACCAAATGGCCGGCTCTCTGTCCATTTCCTATTTTCAGGCGTATCCAAAGTACAAATTCTCCTACGGAGTAAACGACCCGCACACAGGGGACCACAAGTCCCAAGAGGAGTACCGGGATGGGGATGTAGTCAAAGGGCATTATACCGTAGCTGATCCAGATGGTACTCTTCGAGTCGTCCATTACACTGCTGATGACCACAATGGGTTTAATGCTGTAGTGGAGAAACATGGAAAATCCATTCATCCACAGCCCATCCATGCGGTTCCGGTGATTGAAAAAGTGGTACCAGTACCTGTCGTCAAAGAAATCGTGTACGAGAAACCCTATTACGGATATGGCGGACATCAGGGATACGGATATTAGTTTTAATGAAGAATTTTGCTGCTGTCGGAACGATATTGAAAATAAACACAACTGAAATTGATCGATGAACACCAGCGATTTTTTTTAATCCTTGAGGGGTTTTGGAATGCAAAGACTCATTTCTAATCAGAAAATAAACATTTAATAAAAAACAAGAAACAATTAAAAATATCACAATACACTAAAGGCTAATTTTTGCTTTGGGGAAACTCCTGCTGCGGTCCCGGCAGCTTTTCGACCACAGCATTAAATCCATGTCCTTCGTCGAAATATTTCACAACCCTAATGCTCCCATCGGCTTCCCGTAAGGAATATTGTCCCGAAACATGCTCCCCATTCCTCTGCTCCTGCTGAGAATGCAAATCTCCACTGTGATAGTCTTCTATCGAGTAACCATACTCATATTGTGGATGAGCAAATTCTTCCTGATGGCTCTGAGCATATGCAGGTGCAGCCAATCTAGGCTCTGAATATTCAGGAGTAGAAACTCTAGGCTCTGAATATACAGGTGCAGCCAATCTAGGCTCTGAATATTCAGGTGCAGCCAATCTAGGCCCTGAATATTCACGTGTAGAAACTCCAGGCTCTGAATATACAGGTGCAGCCAATCTAGGGGCTGAATATTCAGGTGCAGCAAATCTAGGCCCTGAATATTCATATGTAGGAACTCCAGGCTCTGAATATACAGGTGCAGCCAATCTAGGCCCTGAATATTCACGTGTAGAAACTCCAGGCTCTGAATATACAGGTGCAGTCAATCTAGGGGCTGAATATTCAGGTGCAGCCAATCTAAGGACTGAATACTGCGGGGCAACCAATTTAGGGACTGCATACTCAACTGCAGCTGGATATGCAGGCTGGTGGGTGGCCGAAATTGAGTTGCTAGAAGAATGAGAGTATTTCTCCACTACGGGTATTGAGGTTCTAACTAACGGAGCAGCATGGGAAAAAGTCGTGGCTGCAGGTTGCACTACACGGTATTGAGTTTGGCTCGCCTGCAAATGTCCTGTTGAGGAGTAAGCGCCCAGTCCATCCTGTAGCGCGTAAACTGTACACACTAAGGCGTAGAAAAAAACCTGAAACCAAACTTTATGCGTGCAGAATGATGAATTTTCAGTACGGTTTTGAATTATTTACCGTCGCAATCATGTTCAGCGCCGATGAATCTAACTCGCATCGGAATCCGCACACGACTATCACCCGAAAAAATAGTTTCCTCTTTTTATATGGGCATCTAATCAGATCGATTCTTTCGTAACAAGTAGGTTTAAATTGAGACCATTCTCTGCAGCGTTAAATCAGAAAGACAAATTCGATCAGTTACTTAAAAAATTGGCCAACCTTCCATAGTAATAATCGATCTAGATTTTGCATTCGTTACACACTTTCAGTGTTTTACACTTGTAAGAAACAAGCCAAAGGCGTGGCTTTGCATATAATTACGTGATATCACTAGCCGACTTTGGTCAGTTTCTTCATAACAAAAAGGTAAGGCAATGCTTATTCTCCACAAAAAAAAATCGGGTTTAAAACTAAATTAGATTGGAAAGGGATTATTGAAAATTATTTCAGATGGGTTGTGGGTCAAGCTATAGCAGAGTCTTTGGATATAGGTGGGGTTTGCATGTACATATCTCCAAGATTTGGATTAAATAGGAGATATTGGATTTAAATTGATACGGATAAAAGTAATAGACAATATTTAGAACAGCTTGTATTTCCCAGTTCCACAAATGTTACAAAGACAATACAAAAATGGAAATCAGAGATTATTCGAAAACCAGCCGTTGAGTATTAATGAAAATAGATCACAAGAAGACTAGTATGTCAACGACTATTTATAGCACAAATTCTTTTTATCGGTATAAAACAATGCTATATTAACCCAAACCCACACACAAAAATATCCTAGAGGAAACACTCTGTTCATTATATTTTGCGGATTTTTTTGTGTATTTTTTCCCTAGCTTTTTTATCCTTCCTGTTTGTCAAGCGGAAACACGATTAATGTTTGAATATTGATCAGCTTTTCGCCACGTTTAGGTAAAGAATCACTGATGACTGTTCAAACATGTACTCGGAAGGTTTTTTTAAATAATAATGACTCAGTCTTTCTGCCCATTACAACAATTCATTATTCAATAATAAGTCAATGTAATCCTCAGAGAGACAAAAGGCCTTAAGACATTTCATTTGTGAGTTGCTCAAATAAACCGCTTTCAGTAAGGTGCAGCCTCATATACAAACGATTATTTTTACAAAAACACTATCTGCATATACAAATATACCAAAAGTGTGCCGTCAACCATTCTGAAAGCGGGCATGATAACCACAACGTAATAATTTAGTTTTAGACGTATTGACGAACGAATCAACATCACCCAATGAAATGCCTTTGGTTGCTATTAAACAACACAAATACACATTTTATACAGAGTGAGAACACTTCTCAGGAACCTAAGCGGTGCTCACACACTGCACAAAATCAAGCACCTAAGCAGTGCTCTCAGTGGTTGTGTTTTGCACTGGTTGACTATCTTCAGTCTTCACCACTACAGCCTGATCTTCGACTTTGGGGACTCCGTTACCTTCCTCGGATTGAGAATTGTGAGGCCTTGGTGGTCCACGTCTGCGGTAACGTGGCCTCGGGCCCCCTTGACCTCCTCTTTGGTCGCCCTGGCCCTGGCTGTCTTGCGACGTGGGGCGTGGACCTCCCCCGCGACCTCCGCGGATGTTACGACCGTAAAAACGGCGCGGAGGTCCTCGTGGACCTCGCATTGGAGCATCTCCTACCTCGTCAGGATTTCCCTGGTATCCATCTGAATATAAACAAACCAACGTTAGAAAAGTAAAAAAATTACATTATTTGACATTTTCAATCTTTCATTTTTGTATTCAATGGTCAGAATGGGTCTAAAGCTTGTAAACGGAAAGCCAAAGGTGTGTTAAACGGGCAAGTGATGATATCGATAAATTGTAAGACAGCTGGACTTCGGACAATAGAACTCAAAAATGGTTAAAAGGGATAACTGCTGGCCTAAACCTTCGCCACGGAACTCAAAATTGACATGTTAAATGTGTTACAGTAACTATAAATGACAAAAATTTAAATGTGTTGTGGCAGAATAAAGACGATGGAGGAAAATACAATATTGACAATTGAGCAAATAGGCGACAATTCTCTCAACTCGTCTATTGATACAATCGAACTTCGGACTAATTCATGCAAAGCATAGAAAAAGGTTTTACTTTAGGCGCACTAACAGCATGCACAATACTCACACATACCTCGAGGGGGGCCCATGTAACCTCCTCTCATGTACCCGCCACCTCCTCTGTATCCACCACGACCACGCCTTGGTCGATAGCGGCGCGGAGGTCCTGGAGGTCCGCCCTCACCAATTTGAGCGCCATCTTTGTCGCCCTCACTTTGACCACTCTCACGGGGACGACGTGGTGTTCCTCTACCTCCCCGTGCACCTGGGTAGTACCTGAAAAAAAAAAAACAAACATTTGATTATCTTTTGAAATTCCAAAAAATCAGCTACTTGTTCTATGCAGTAAGTGTATGATAAATTTACCCTTTTCCAATATAAGTAATTGGAAAGAAACGCCTATATTTATCAATTAATCTAGCACAGTTTTAGTACATTCAAACAAACAGGTGTTTTTGTAAGAATGTGGACATTATTAACGTGCAATTGGGTCTTTTAAACGGAAAGTTGAAATTGTATAATTACCATTGACGATACTTTTTCTCAGCAGCAAAAGGAGAACCGCGCACTGTCTCTCCATTCGGGCCGGTCACATTGGCGGCTTCATTTCCTTTTTCTCCGACTACTACGTTAAATTCCACAGTTTCTCCGTCTCCTACAGATCGAACCCTCTTCTTTGGATTGTTCTTAGTTATGGCCGTCTGCAAACAACAAACAAAACAAATGAAGAAACCATTCAAATTAAACTCAAGTAAAAGTTTGCTTATAAGGCAAACGAAGTCTAATGGTAATGTTCCCCGACAAGTTACAGAAGAAATTAAGTAAAAACGAATTTCTAACTGAAGTAACTTGTTGGAGTTACTCTTATTTAGCACACTTATGACTCAAGCATCTCCTATAATGACAGAGATGGATCTAAGGAGCGTGCATATAATTCTGCAAATGAAGAGTACAAGACAAAAACGGATAAGTTTCTGCTTTTGGGTATACTACTAGTTAGTGTAAAATATATCTATATATGGTCATTTTAATGGGGCACCCGGTATATTACCTGACAGGGCAATCAACAATAACCGACTGGAAGAGTTTCGCGAAGTTTTTTAGATAATAGCGAACATAAATTGAGTCAGTTTTTGTTCTGTACTTGTCAAATATGTAACAAAATAATGTCGGGACTTACTTGATGAACAAACACATCTTCTTTAGTGTCGTTACGGTTGATGAAACCATATCCACTTTTCACGTTGAACCACTTCACCGTACCAGTAACCTTCGTTGCTAAATGAGTGTTCAATTTGAGTTAAAATATTTTGGAAGTGTTTGCATAAAAAACAACAACAGTGAATTTAAAGAATTTTAGAAGCTGATCGAAAAAATTAGTCAATTTTTGTCAAAGTTCTGGTAAACATTTTTGATATTTCTCGTTTTTTTATTTTAGATTCCAACAAATTTTGAAGGTTTGTTATATTTTTTCGCAGACAATACAAGAATTTCTCTATGTAAATTCCAAGATTTTAGCTTTTCTATGTTTAGTTGGATTTATTTCGAGGAAAGCATTTTTGACAAATATTTAATGGAATTGAATATACGGAATTCTCATTTTTTTTAATAAGTAAATACCCTGATCTGCAAAACGCAGTTTTTGACAAATCTTGAAATTGAATTGAAAAAGTGGACAAAATTGTACTGTATAAATTTCCAAATATGCCTTGTACCTAAAGCAAACTGTTTAAATGGGGATCTTGTCTGGTCAATTTTGTCAAGAACTGCTGTTTGCAGATCATTTCTTCACAATTCTAGAACTACAATTTTTTCTCCAGAAGCAATCGGTTTTGAGCTTGAAGAAACAATCAAAGATTCGTTGCAAAGTAACTTTTTCAGCTTGTGGGAATAGAATTTGACCTCAATTTGTCATCATCCCATCTCCAATTCTCTACTCAAATGTCTGTGGGCAGAGAACCAAAAAACGGAAGCGATAAATCTTGACTTTTCAGTTAATCATAAATTCAAAAAAAAATCCTTCGGTTTGTTCAAAATTTCTCATCGAAAAAAGATGTTCAGTGAAATAGCCAATCAAGTTAATTCATCAGTTCAGAACTCAAATGATGAAGCCTCAAGCCACCAAACAGAAATGGCGGACGCTTGCTAGAGGTGGATCTTCAAAAAAGTGCAATTTCTGAGTTCTCAACTCATCAAGATCTGAAAATTCTGAATAGAACTGCACATGGATGAGAGGATATGAAGCTGTAGCGGAAGGCAAATCAACCAGAATCGCATTATAAATACCATGTGCTTTAAAGAAAAATGGTGGACGAACCGGTGACGCCAACAAAGAGATAGGAGTTTTATCTTACCGATCACTTCCTTCTGCTTCACGGGAGCCTTTACGGGCTCTTCCGATTGTGATGGTGGTGGTGATTGTTGTTGTTGTGGCTGCTGCTGCTCCGTCTCAGCCATGATGGTGTTCGGGCCGGTGGAAGATGTTAAAACCGCTACCTCACCTTGGTGTTATTTCTTCCTGACGAACTCGGTTGTTTAATGATCTTGACGATGCTCCTCTTTTTTCGCTTATAAATAAACTCATTACGAGTCAAATCCGACGAAACTTCCTCCTTCCTTCTTTTACTAGCGCACGGTAATTGTATTGCTATCACATATCGCGTAGATGAATTAAGGGACCACCCGCATGACGCGCGGCGCATGCTTGATGAAAAAAAACGCGGTAATTTTAAACATGATTCAAACTTTTGCCTGGAATCTCGCCAAGTTTCACAATTGCTTAGTTTTCGGAGTGAGAATTGCAAAATCATTCACTAGGGGTGATTCAAGGCGCATACTTTTCTCAAAAGAAGCTATGCTTAAAGATTTAGGGCCGAAAGCCAAAGGTTTAGTGCATTTTCTATCTGGGACCTTTCAACGCCTTAACGTTGATAGCACTGATGGGGATAATAAAAAAATGAAATTCCGCGGTCAATTGTCTCTGAATACCTGTCTTTATCTAAGTTTAATTGGCCATGGCGCAAATAATCACAGCATTAAAGTCCAGATATTTTGCAAAATGAAGAACTAAAACAATTGGATAATGTACATGCTTCTATCTCAAAACCGTGTGCGTGCAACTGAGTTGAATGTGAACGCTCTGATCTAACCTAATCGCACAGGGTGTGCCGTAAAATTTTTACACTGACAGAAACCCTCTGACAGTGACGCTTGATAAACTATTTATTTACCAATCAGTATTTGTCAACAAATAAGGGCTGAAAACTTTTGATAAACATTTACATTAATCATGGAAGATGACCATGAAGAACTGCTTCAGTACTCTGATGATGAATCGGTGTCCGAAACCCAAGAAGAAGAGGATAATGTTTGTCCAGTTGAACCGGAAGATTACAGGCATTTAGCAGTGGTGCCCCACAGCAAACTCGAGTTTTTCTCCTGTTTTCTGTCGTTGATTCTGTCCAGTACTGTGCTGTTGATTATTCTTCCTCTTTATATCAGCGCTATTAACGTAGAAGCCAATGTCTATTCAATACTGGCCTTCAACGCCCCTCTGGCGACAGCTCTTTTGGGTGTTGTACTGATTTTGCTGAAATATCTGTGCGGAAAATGCAGAACCCAGGAAATTTTCGCCATGCCAGTCGGGTTTCGGAGGCTGCTGGAGCTCTCCGGCTTGTATATCGGCTTCTGCTATCTCTACATGTATGCGAGCGATAGGAACCGAGTGCTGTGCCACATGCAGGATCCCATCAAGGGAATTATTGTGGTATTTGCTCTTCTGAACTATTTCTTCTTTTGTCGAAGTTGTAAGTATGCAAATATGACCAGTTAATGTGCATCGGCACACAAAATAATAAAAAATGTTCACAGTTGGAACGCAGCACTTAGAACTAATGTACCTTTTTTCGCTTATTCCAGTTATGGGGCTCCATAGGATATTTTCTACCACTACTGTGATTGTTGGTTTATTCATTTCCGTCGATTATGGTCTGTGCGATGAATTCGTCTGCAGAGGATACGATAGAGCGCAACTATTTGACGATACAGGCTCATGGTCCTGGCAGGTGCACAGCATTTGGACTCAGGCTTATATTTTCAGTTTGATCCTGATTGCAGCCTTCTACACGTTGCTTGATAGATGTGTGGTTCCAAGCTACAGCGCGGTAGTTAATTCAGCCCACATTTTCCGCTGTTTTTGGCTTACACTTCAATGTTTTCCAGATGCCTTCCAGTATAACTTCCCCGCCAGTGGTTAACACAATATCCATAACTGTGACTGGAAATAGCTCGAATCTGGAACAGGATGTGCCCGAGCAGGACAAGCGGGTTGTTAATCCCCAACTTGTCACAAAGTCTGCCGTTCTTTTTGCCTTCTGGATACACGTGATGGTCTGCGCGTTGATGCTTCTGACTTTTTGGGTCGACTTTATACCGGGAATAGGAAAGGTGATTAGCCTGATTGCTCGATGAATGTTCTACTCCACAAAGGCATTTCCTTTAGGGTCATTCGGCAATGGAGTCGTTGAACTTTACCAAACAGGGGCTGATGTGCCATTTTACCAGTCATGCTGAAGCATTGAACTGCCAGTCGGTCTTCTGGTATTCTGTGGGGTTCCAAATAGCCTACGTGCTGTTTGCCATCTCCTCCATCAAGTTCTTAACGCTTACTCAGTCTGCGGTGTTCACCATCGCCACGATGTCTTCTGCTCTGCCTATAATTGGGATCTGGTGGACCCTGTTCCATGCTTCTCCAAGCGGTGAGTGTTCGATTCTTTAAATCTTAGTCTATTCAAGTGTATGAAAATGTGTTTTCTTCATTCCAGGGGCGCTGGTTTGGGCTCCCAAAGTAAGAGGGGAATTTATTTGTTCAATTATCGGTCTTCCCATCGTGTTCCTCGGGCTGGGGCTGCTGTGCAAAGCCCATTTTAAGGATGTCCGCAAATTGCGCCCCATGGTTCTGATTTCAGTGCGTTCTTAAATTTCCAGGGCTTTGATCTCATCATCAAACGTTTATTGGACTATCGTATACTGTTATCTAATAACCATAGTTTTAAGGTACGTATAGGTACTACAGAGTGCGGTGATAATCGAATATTTTTATAAGATGCCGCACTTTGTATTAAGGGGATTAAGTGAGCTGGCTTACAAAAAAAATAAACGTTTTCTACTGGAACAATGAACACACTACCTGCTTGGAAGTTCCTATTTTTACAAGGCATTTGTGCTCTCCAACTGGAATTTATTGTTGTTTAAATAAGCAGCAGCAACATTTCCAGTTCCAAGTCCATTTAATGAACCATCAAGAAGTTAGTTTGTCAGCTTCTGTTGCCAAATACTGTACTTACTTGTGATAGCCCACATTAAAGCGAACTGATCAGTCATTGGACGGAAACAGACAGTTTTTAAGCTTATAACTTTCTAGTCTTTAGTTTAAGGAAATTATATTTTTCTCGGAGAAGTTCAGTTTTGTCTAAAGTTATGGCAGTGAAAAAGTCAGGCAGTAACTTTAAGCACAACTGCACTGTCTGATGTCCACGAGGTACAAAGAAATTGCCAAAAATCAAACCGTAGTTTGTCGAAACTGACGTTGTTACTTAAATATTGTTATTAAATGTGTGTCTACGCGATTAATCGATGTACAGTTTTGCAGAGTGTTTAGGGACAGTTCGCTTTAGAATAGCAATCCATATTTTTGTCAAAATAAATTTACTCTTTCTTCAATTCAATTATCTGTTTAATTTTGAAGATAAAACTCCGTATTGCTTAAAAAATAATTGATTGTCTACTTAATACCACTGGTAAATGTCCCGCGATTTCGAAAATATTTATTAATTTGCCCGTTTTATCCCAAATTTAAATCGGACCGTTTGCCAGCAGAGTTTATAAAGCGAACTTCCATTACTTTTGCATGAATAATCACATCCTTAGATCAGGATTAATTAAGAAAGGTCCCTGTATAATCCAAACCTTATACATATAAATTTTTTCCATGCGTTTCGAACCAACTGATCGCTTTTGAAATTTTCCAACAAAGGAACTAAACACTCTGTATATAGGATAAGAGTCACATGTATGGAGCTGAAGCAAAGCCAATTTATAGGTTGCCCCAACTTGCAGACATTAATTTGTTTTTATACAATAATCCCAGCTCAGGCACTATCCTAGTTATGTGTATACGGCCCATTTGTGAATACCTAATCTTATAGACCGTAAAGTTTACATTAGACCAGACATTATCAGTGAAATAATGTTTTTTTTGTAAAGAAGCTTAATGCTATTTGTAAAGGCTTTTCGTGCTAAGAGATCTTGTAGAGTATGTACTCTAAAATATGTACAAAAAACGATTTATTATTATTTGACTGAATACATTTCAGTCAAATAATAATAAATCGTGGTGGCAAAGTAACATTTACAAATTTATTGAAAAGTGGCCAGGTTCTATTATTCATGTTTCGGATGTTTTATTCTCTGTAATCATTGGGACACATTTTGTTTGAAAACCTACACCCTACACACATAGTAGTTCCATGCATTTGACTCTCTCTACATAAATGAATAATATTGGAGCCAATTATTAGATATTGAATATTAGTAAAAACGTATTTTACGACATGTTTATTGGAAGATATTTATTAGATATATACAGTGTGACCTACTTTCTACTAATTTTAGAATGTTGGAAATACTTATTCGTTACCTCTCACGAGATAACGACTCGAATAAGGCGGGTCACCCTATACATAGAAGGCAGTGTAGTCAAGCTCAACTAACAGCTACAATTCAGCTAAATTTAAAAGCCATAAAATCAAACATTTTCGTTATTTACGTGTGTTTTTTTTTAGAAAACTGTGGTATTTCTGTGATATTTTCAAAGTTTTACAACTACTTTGTTGAATATTGTTTGTTGGTCCTATAATAGACTACACTGCTTCACTTTGGTACTAAGTCAAGGTATATTTTATAGACAATATTGATACCTACGTATACATGGTAAAACACTTAAACCAATTTTTTTAACCCTTAGGGCGTACTTCGTATAAAACTGTTATGAATCAACATGTTTATTAGTGGAAAATATATGCACGGTGTATTGAATGTTATGTGGGCATTTTCCTTTACTGCATCTAACCGATTTGAAGGCTTTGGAGCGAACATTGAGCAAGATTTAAATTGGAGAAGCCCGATCGGAATATAAACATGCGACCTACATAAAACACGCAAAAAATGAAGGAAATACTGTTGCAAAATCGGTTGAAAATCCGTGTATCTGCGCGAGTAATTTAAGCTGATTTATAGTGACCTTTTCTATGCAGTAAGTAAGTATAATTATACATAATCATTCTCAGGTGCGGGTTCGATGGACCATCACACTGGACGCACTTTACTAGGCAAATAATAAACAGAACTGAATAGTAAAAAAATATATTTTACAAAATTTACAAAAAATTGATTATGTACAGTTGTGCAACATTTTGGGTTAATAAACGTGAAACTGGAAGTTTGGAAATTTCAATAGTGAGTGGTTTTCACCACCAGCCGCCGCCTCCACCGCCGCCGCTCTTCCAGCCGCCGCCGCCTCCGCCTCCTCCTAGAGACCAGCCGCTGCTTCCTCCTGAAGACCAACCGCCTCCTAAGAAAATTACAGAATATTTAGACACTCGCGAGCACTTAGTTTCTGTTCATTAGGTTGTTATTGGGGTTTTTCGCTTAATTTTGTACAATTTTTACAGAAAATGTACAGCTATTTAGTACTCGTACCGCCTCCGGATTTCCATCCACCACCACCACCACCTCCATATCCACCGCCGCCGCCGCCGCCGCTTGGCACGACAATTTTGATGATTTTCACGCCGCCTCCGCTGCCACCGCCGTACCCACCTCCGCCTCCTCCGGACTTCCAGCCGCCTCCTCCTGTAAACACCAAAAAACACTGTGGAAGCCTGTTTTTGAGAAAAAAACTGTTATTTACCGCCGCCTCCGCCTAGGTTCCAGCCACCTGCAGAACAAATTTGTCGTTAAATGAATGAGGGGAGATTTTGTTGACTGTTTCCTTACCGCCGCCTCCAGACCATCCGCCGCCTCCGCTGGACCATCCGCCACCTCCGGATTTCCAGCCGCCACCACCGCCGCCGCCGCCATAGCCGCCTCCTCCGCTAATGAATCCGGCTGAAGAAAAATCACAGTATGAGCGTTTTTTCGTCAGCAGTTGGAAAATCGCAAAAAAATGAAAAGCGCTTACCTTCGCTCAGACTGGCTGCAGTGGCCACCACTAAAAGACAGACAAACACCTGAAAGAGAAGCGTCGTTAGTCCGAGGCACTAAAGTCCGAAGAACTGGTTTTTTCTTTACCTTCATGTTGAAGTCCTGAAAGGTGACTGACTTGTAGCACCTCATCTTCGGCGGATTTATTTATAGTGGATATTTGGACCTTGATGAGGCCCCCCTTTCTATGCATCCCCCCGAATTGCCTACCGAACACCCGAAGTTACAATTACAATAATTGCTGGCCGCTTCATGACGCTGATTCTAATGGTGCTTCACTTTAACCGATTATTTGCCGGATTGCACCATTTGGACTAGATTTAGGAGATATGGGCTAAACCTACTGTATACAAGGTGTTTTAAACGCAGTTTCTATACTGTAACTCCACTGGGTTCTTGTATAAATTTGCCCATACACAACATTGAATCTGCAAGGGTTGCACACACAAAAAAATCCTGAAACTGGACTAACGGTCTGATTCCAATGAAACTTTGTACAGATTTAAACAAATGGTTCTTCCATAGATTGGAGAAATTTCAGCGTTTTTGTCGTTGGATTTTCGAAGTTTGGCATTTTTACATCCAAGCTTGCATGATTAATTGCCTCTAAAATCCTGAAACTCAGCGTTGAGCCTGATGAATGAAACTTTTTGCAATTTTAAGCAACTGATTTTTCCATAAAATTAGGAAATCTCAGTTTTCAGTTCGATAGTTTTCGGATGTTATGAATTTTTGAACGAGAAGTTTCATTATTGAAACACTTCTTCTGAGTAAGAAAAAATCCTCAAACTCGGCAGTCACTCTTATATGGCTTAAACTTTCAAGAAATTTAGTGTTTCTTCCATGGATATCAGAAATTTCAGAGTTTTATTCGGTCGATTCCCGAAGCTATGAATTTTTACAGTACGGTTTGCATAATTGCGACAAATTTAATTACACAATTCATAAGTTCTGAGCAAGAAAAATTCCTGAAACTCAACAGTCAGCGCCAATTGGAAGAAATTGTGTGTGCTTTTAAACAAATCTATGCTCTACAAATTTCTGAAATTTCAGCTCGTTTGACGCTCGATTTTCAAAGTTATGTATTTTTAATTTAACGCTTTCTTGATTGCGGATAGTGCCGCACTCAAGTCCGGGCAAGAAGCATTCGTAAATCAGAAGAAACAGTCTAGACTGCATCAAACTTTCTGCACATTTAGACAAAAGGTTCTCATATGATGTTCTGAAATTTCAGCTTTTTATTCGCTCTATTTTCGAAGTTACGAATTTTTTGATTTAGACTTGCATAATTGCGGCTCGCTACTTTCAGGCAAGAAAACTTCTTAAAATTCGAGATAACGTCTAAACTCAATGAATTTTTCTGGGCGATTAAATAAAGATTTCCCCTATCATTTTTTGAAATTTCAGCTTTTTTTTCGCTTGACTTCTAAAGTTCGGAATTTTTAGACTTAGCACATAACTACGGCTTTTTACTTGCGGGTAAGAAAAATTCTAAATACTGGAGATACTGTTTAAACTCGATGAAAGTTTCTGCTTACTTAAAGGAAGGTTTCTTCTGTGAGATTCTAAAGTGTCAACTCTTTATTCGCTCGAGTTTCGAAGTTGGGAATTTTTAACTTCAGGTCTGTACAATTTGGCTGTCGCTACTTCTAAGCGCGACAAATTTGCGCAACTCCATCCAGATTCGGCATTAAATAAAACTCTTTGGACTTTTCAACCAAAACAATTTGAAAACATTTAGATTTAGGCCAAAACCGCTTGATTTAAATAAAAAAATATTCAAATTTACGTGAAGAAATCGTTCCTCTGTGCGTGTTTTCGCGAGTTATAATTTCCTGTTTAAGTACGCGAATCTTGGCAAATCTGTATCAGAAAAGCCACAAACTTATGCAATTTACAAAATGCTACTTTACTTGATGTGAGCTACCGATTACATGTACGATTCACAATACTTTTAAATTATAATAACCTTTTTATTGTTCGGAGGCCCCATTTGAAGCCCCCCAAGGCTGAGCATCGCTTAATTACCCATTTCATCATCCGATTCACAATTAAATAAACTTAAAGTAAATTGGCAAAAAAATCTCAGAACAAACGTGTTTCAACAGACGCCTTTTTCCCAGTAACGTTGCATAGTGTGTGGCCACCGGCTGATGTGTTTTATCGAATTTTATTTCAATGTTATTAATAATGCAGAATCTCGACGATCTGGGCGGCAGCAAATTTGGTTAAAGAGAAAATAAACTAAATCGGTGCTGCATTAGACTGTCTTATTGAAATTGATGTCATCGTTATATAACGGAACAACAATCGCTAAAATTAAATTTCCAAACATCTAGATGCCTCACACAGGATGCAAAATGCGCTCGAGCAAATTAAGCAAACCCGCCACTGATTAGAACATGGTAATTAGGCTGCATAAGTTGTACTAGTTAGACATACGCAAACTGTTATTTAAAACAATTACGAAATTCATATTTTCCATATTCATCCGATATAGCTTTGGGAGAATAAAACCGGTGAGATTTTTTAGACTTGTAGGCCGTTGTGGAAAAAAACATTCTTTCAGACATTCTAAGTAATGCTGTTTGAAACTGCTGAGTTTTTCGGGCTTTTAGACCGTCGTGGTCAAATACTCATCAGTTATTTTTATACTGCGGAATTTAACAAAAATGGGGAAGTAAACGGGTCTCATCTAGAGAGTGAAAATGTTCACGCAGCTGCATGATCTTGAATAAAAATTCCCAACTTCTAAGCTAGAGTATGTAACAACTTGAATTTTTCACAGTTTATAGAAGAGACTTCCAAGCAAAAACCCTCAACATTTCAGTCAAGTTGTATAAAATTCAAAGGTGTGCGCCCTTTGTGAATGTTGATTTCAAAATAAATGTTTTCACGCAAGAGCAGACCCTCGAATAAAAATTCCCAACTTCTAATCTAGAGCAGGCAGCCACTTGAACTTTTCTCCGCTTATAGAAAAGATTCGGATCTAAAAACCGTTGACTTTTCATTTAAGTTGCATTAAAATCAAAAGTTTGTCGCCCTTGTAAATTATGGTCCAAAAGTTAACTTTTTCACGCAAGTATGTTCTTGAATAAAAATTCCCAACTATTGATCTAGAGTATGTAACAACTTGAATTTTTCACAGTCTATAGAAGAGACTGTAAACCAAAAACCCTCGACATTTCATTCAAGTTGTATACAATTCAAATGTGTGCGCCCTTTGTGAATGTTGGTTCCAAAATAAATGTTTTCACGCAAGAGCAGACCCTTGAATAAAAATTCTCAACTTCTAATCTAGAGCATGCAGCTACTTGAAATTTTCTCCGCTTATAGAAAAGATTCGGATCTAAAAAACCATTGACTTTCATTTAGTCCAAAAACCGTCAACATTTCATTCAAGTCGCCTAAAATTCAAATATGTGCGCCCTTTGTAAATGTTGGTCCCAAAGTAAACGCTTTCATGTAAAATGCCTCGAACAAAAATTCACAACTTCTAATCTAGACCATGTAAGAACTTGTTTCACAGTCTATAGAAGAGACTTGAGTGAAAAACCCCTGAATATTTCAATTAAAAAGTATAAAATGCCGACGTTTGCGAATTTTGAAAATGTTGGGCTAAAAGTGAGTGTTTTTACGCCGCTACACCATCTCCAATAAAAATTCGTAACTTCTACTCTAGATTATGAGGTCCTTTGGAAATTTTACAGTCTATAGCAGAATCTTACATCTCAAGACCCTCAAAATTTGATTGTAATCGCATAAAACGTTGATTTTTGCGCGTTTTCTAAGATTTCTAAAAATTCGTAAGTTCTAATCTGGATGATGTAGCAACTTGAATTTTTTAGCCTATAGAAGATACACGAAGCATCTGGCATCTGCGGCTAATTTTTACGCGCTTTCTAGTTCATGTTATGATGTAAAAATAAACATTTTCTCGCAACTGCAGGCCCCCGGAAGCTTTATTCCAACATTTACAAAGGGCGCATTTGCGTCTTGAATCAAGTAAAGCAATTAAAATACACCTACATAAGATCCTTGTATTGTAAATTATTATATTTACTTTCATTGACTTCACCTCCTAATTTATTAGATACACTTGTGTGCTACTCGATTGATTAAACAACAATAAAAAATCTGATACTTTTCTTAGGAAAACACACACAAGTGAAGAACGCTGACAAAGAACCGAAACGCGCGGATTCGCTATGGATTGCAAAACTTATTTTTAAGTATCTTCATTAAAAATCACCCAGGGCATTGTGCAACTGAATGAAAACAATCCTTGGGTATATAGATGGTTTTAAACCGTAAAAACGTTCACTCAGTTCATTGGTATATACGTTTGTTATCTAATAACTTATTATTTATGAGTTTCTTGCTTAATGAAGCGTATTAGATCGAATCCTTAAATGATATGGTGATGGTTTCTTGATGCCAGTTAGTTGAACGTTTACATTTGGGGTTGAAAATATTGCGACTTAAAATTGGCAAACGTTTGCAATTGCGTTAGACGTGGACAGAGTTTCAAAGGTGTAAAAGCAAAAGGAAAAAAGCGGTTATGCAGATTGTCTAATTGGCAGTCTCTCGAAAAATCGTTAAGTAACATGTAATTTAAATTCAATTTCAAGACGATTTATTAATAATCATTATAAGTATCTTCAAGTGCTCAAAACGCATTGAAGAACCTTGGCTATTCAAACTGTGAAACACACTCTGAAGGTTTACATTGGATCGCAACAAATTGAAGATTTTTTTTATTGGGAGTTTCCGCGTTTTAATGAACAATTTCTTCAGTTTGCTAATGGTTAGAATGTGGAGGATGTTTTGGTTAAAGGTCGGCAGCTTACTGATGATGGAGACTTAAAAATCGTTACCCAATTTGGTAAACCTTGGGTAATTGTTTGAATCAAAAACGCATCAATTGTGATTAACCTCAAATAGCTATATACAGAGAGTTTCTGGTTCTAATTTTCGTATTTTGGTTTATTGGCATTGGTTTTTTTGGGCAAGATTTTCCGCATAAAAACTCGCGGAATTTTCCAGTTTTTCAGGAACTTTGCATGAATATTGTTGCAAAATAGAATGCTCCAGCATGAGTTTTAGGTGTTTTCAACAACCAAAACTTTTTTTGCAACCATTTGCAAAATTCCAAAAATATGTTGGAATTTTGCCCCCAAATACGCTTTAAGGAATTAAAAAAAAAAATCAGTCAACTTTTTCAGTCAGATCTCTTGGTATTAGAGCTCTCAGCGGATCTCATATAAAACGAGCACTTTTTGCATTGTCGAGAAAATAAAAAAATGAAAAAAGTATTTTTCACTCAGAACTCTTTAAAATGTGATTCTCAAAAAAACACAGAATTTTCAATCAAAGGCGGGAGCAAAAGAAGATAATCTTTTGAATAAAAAAGACTTGCTTCAAATTTGGTTGAGAAATTGTTGAAAAAGTATCAAAAACCTTCGCGTCTCACACAAAAAGAGACAGTAAGGCTTACGCGCATTTCAAAAACTCGCGTTTTTTACATTGTTGACGAAATAAAAATAAAGACAAATTTAAATTTATTGTTTTTTAAATACCGTGGTAATTGAACAATGTGATTTTGCTTTACAAAAATTTTTGAATTTTTTTATTACTGTTTTTTATAAAATTTTCAAATTTTTTGATGTTCGTCCATTTTTCATATTTTTTATACCCATTCCACTAAAAGCCCTTGCAGTTGTAGTTTTTGGCGGCTCCAACCATTAACTTACATTCACAGTCATTAAATGCTAAAGCGCATCTCACTTAACTCCTATGGATTTCATGTTTTTTAGATAATTTAAAAGACCATTTTTGCATCAAGTGATTCTTTAAAATGTGCTTTGAGGAATTCTCAAAATTGTCCGAAAAGCTACGGATTTTTTGTCAAAATTCTCATTTGGGTCTATTATTTTTAGAAGCTTTAGCGCATCTCACATAACTCCTGTGATTGTGAATTTTTTGCAGTATTCAAAAAGGCTTGTTTGCATCAGATCATTCTTTAAAATGTGTTTTTGGGAATTCTTCAAATTGTCCCAAAAACTACGTAGTTTTAGTCAAAACCAACATTCTTTTAAGCGCATTTCTGTTAGAAACTTACGTTGCGTTCAAGCCAATTAATGCGTGAAAGAAAATGTTCTCATTTTAAAAAAGTCAATATTTTTCAGTTCTTTTCCTAAATTCTCATCCCAAAACTGCATTTTTGGCTTTCACGTTCACTAACTACCTTGCCAAGTATTTCGAAGAAAAATTGCAGTAGAAAGCGAAAACCTACATTTTGATGTGTTTTCATTAATTTTTAAAGATAATGTTCTCGGTGAAACATACATCTTGAATTAAAAAATCTGATGCTAAATAGCACTCACACGTAATTAGGAAGACACTGGAAAAAAATCATCAATAACTAATTATAATGAACTTTTGAACAGAGCATTAAACTTGATTGTCGCGCGGTTAACTTGAGCCAATTTTGACAAAACCAGTAGTCAAATAAAAAGCAAAATTATCAGTATGTAACACACTTTCCAAACGATTTATTCGCCGACTGTTAGGCAATCATGCCGGACATTGAATGACCAAAACCAGTGGACAGCAATGACCATAGAAGCTCAAAATATCATGGACAGGACAGTCTTTCATTCGGATCACTTTGAGGTTTGCGACGATGATTCTGCAACTAAACCTTGATTTTTCTAAAGGAAGTTTTTTAGATTCTGATTGATGCTAGAGGATTTCGTCCAGAGGAAATCAAGTGCCTGCTAACGAGCCAATCAGTCGAAGTGAGCGCACAAAAGGAAGACCAAAGTGCAAACGCCCAGAAAAGAATGTCCTTAGTTCGACAGTACATTTTGCCTAAACTCATTGTCCCGGAGAATGGACAATGTTGTCTGTCCAGCGACGGGATGCTGCTGATTGCAGTACCTTGGCTGAATTAATCGCACATTTAATGTATTCTGTGCAATAAACGTTTGAAATTGGCTAGGCATAGTTCGGCGCGCTACGTGTTTGAGAAGCTATTTTAACATTACGCAGATTTATATATTATATGTATTTAAAATGTAAAAGCGCAATTGTGACTAATGCCCGATGTTGCAAACATTAGTGACTTGCTTATTATTCTAGGCAAAAGTATCGCTTCATATTTATTATGTTCCTTTCCAGTTTGGCAACGCAAAAGTTAATGGGTGTCATGCCATTAGTTTAAATTTGCACTTTTCCCTGCTTTAGGAGCGTATTTCAATTGCTTATTAATGAGCGCACTGTTTTCTTCTAAATTGCTGAAACCATAACATGAAGAGTGAAAGTAATGGCTTCTAAGCAAATGTAATTTTTTCCAAGTAGTTGCCTTGGGTTTTGAAGCATTTGCGTACTCCTTGAAAAACACGCGTTGTTAAATTTAGATATTTCCCATCACCATTGCTGAGATTGTTTCAGCGGATTCCCAATTATAAAAATAATCTGCAAATAATCGTTATACTTAGTGGCTTTGGAAAGGCATCAGATGGTATGATTTGATATAGCAAAATTACCTCATGTATCCTGACAAAGCATTGATCGCGAGATAACAGGAAATTGACTTTGAGTAGTCGTTTATCTTTGAAATGTTTCCTGAAAAGCCAACAACATTCTATGCGGGCTAAATATGGGCTAAATTAACTGGTTGACTCTTATGCCTGAGAATGACCAATTGTGAAATTTATCGCAAAAAGGACAATATTTGAAAAACTACCCAGATTACTCTTATTTAAGATTTTCAATTTTCATCATACTAACAACAAAATGCATTTTTAAAGGTTTTGTACTAACTGTGAAGCAGAGTACTTTTCTAAATGTCCTCTGAACGTTACAGCTTCCGCCTTTATGCAGAACTATTTTTATTTCATTGCAGAACTTCAGTTTTGGTGAACTTAACTTATCTTTCCAACAGAGCACAAAAAAATTATTTTCCAAGTTTTGTACGCTTTTGCACTAAAAAGTTTATTCCGTCTGAAGCAGAATTCTTGTATGAACATCCTGTGAACGTTTCAGCTGCCGCTTTGATACAGAAGTATTTTTAATTCACGATCAAACTGGAGTTTTGATATTTTATGTAAGTTTCTTCTTTAATTGGAAGATTTATTTCAACTGAAGCAGAATACTGTTAGAAATCTGTAAAATTTCAAATTTGCAAACCTGAATTAAATGCTAACGTAGAATACTGAGCATTCTATAACAGCCTGGGGTTAAAAAGCCAAATAATGAACTTCAATCTGATTTCATCATAATTAAGAAATAATCAACAGCAAAAGGCCAAAGCACAAATAATGAATAAAAAATAACACTCTTTGTTGTTATGTTTGGTTTTTATGGCAAAATATATTACAAATATAACTCTAAGAGTATTTCAATATGTAAGTAAATTTGATATAACGGCTTGGCAAAAAAATGTAGAAAATTTGAATATTAACAAATTGTTGTCTAGGCAAAATGGTGAATGAGCTTCTGCGATAACGAAGGCGAAGAAACTTGAATTAATTTTTATGTTAGAGATGCCCCTTACTTTGCATTAGAAAAACATCTGCATTACCTTTTAGATGATGATCAACACTCCGTTGCACTAGAAAATGTGGCTTAATTAGTCATCAGAATCCGAGTCCATATCGAGGGAGAAAAAGTCCTTATCGTTGGCCGAGCATGTTGACGCAGTCACAGTCCTGTTGCTTGCAGGTTTCGTTTTGCCTCCTAAAGTAGATCCTCTTGTTGGGGCTTCATATTCGGATGTATCGCTGTTAATCTGCACTGGGGAGCCCACATCTTCTCCGGTAGCTTCAGCAGCAGTTCGTTCTATCGTGGATGGTTGTGGTTGCAAATGAAACTGTCGCAATCTCTCTTGTTCAGCATCAGATAGCTCATACTCCGGCTTGGTATATGCCGGAAGGATGTACCGTATAAATCGGTTTTTCAAGCTTTGCCATGACCTAGTCGGGCAGACTTTCTCATCTTCCATACGAATCCACAAATCATTCCCTTTGATGAAGTATTCCAGTTTGTCACCCAGGATATACTTAAGAATGGCCTTATCCTCTTCCAAGGTGTAAAGAGCCAATGTTCGTTTTTCCCCAGCTGCTGCCGGCTTACTTTCGCCACTCACTGGCATGAAGCGATTGTGTTTTTTGGGTATTTCTGCCGCAAGTTTCGTTAGCGGCTTACGCAAGTACACCCTCAGACCGATCCGTTCATCTGCAGTCAGACCGTATTCTGGCCTGGACAGATCTACGGAGATAGTCTTAAAAAAGCGGTTTCTTAGGCTTTGCCAAGTCCTGTGCGCCAATACTGGGTCGTCTGCCATTTGTTTCCAGATGTTGTTTCCTTTGATCACTGACTCGTAATGTCCCTCAATTATATACCGAAGAATCGCCTTGTCCTCTTGCAGTAAATATACATTTCCTGCCATTTTAGGGCCTTTTAATTAATGGGCTGTTTGTAAACAACTAGGGAAGTAGGGTTAGGTGATCAAATCTAGGTAGCACTACAGATTACAGAGCCACAGATTAACCTCTGTGATCTGTGGGTAGAACCAATCAAAATCGTTGACAGCTGCCAGGACTGGTGCGGACGGTTAAGAAAAAATATTTGCCACATGTGCTCAAATTTCAACAGTTACAATGTCCAGTTACGGCGAAAAAGTGATGGAATTCTGCAATTTTGTGTGTAATGACACGGAGGAAAAGCCCCAGCCAGTGGGCAATCCATTACTCGAAGACCTGAGGTCAATGGCTGGTAAGAGTTGGGCGATATTTACTCTTAAAATGCCTTTAAACTGGCGTCTGTTCCTATTAGAGAAGCTGAACAATGCGCTGAAAAGCACCAGCGAAATCTGCCAGGATCTGGACCGGTTTTCTTCCAATGAGCTCCCCAGCCGATTGTCCAATCCCACACTGCCAGTGGGTCAAACTAATGCTCCTTTGCTCGTCTCTCTCAAGCAGCTGGGGGACTCTGTTTTCAGCTCCACTAAAGAGGGCTCGTTTGATTTTAACCAGGTGTCTGTCGTGGGCGTATTGTATGAAAATAGACTTATTGTTTGCAATTTGCAGGACGATGTGGAAAGCATTTTTGCAGCAGCGGATGCCAACTTAAGCAAGGCAACTGACTATGTCCACAGTCTGAAACGTACGAATTATCAACTGGAGCGACTTTACAGGAGCGTTCAGAGGGGAGTAGCACAATCAGAAGTCACAATAGAGAGCAATGACTGTTCCACTGCATGTTACGATGATTTCGGTTTAAATGCTTCGGCCTCTTCACCATTATAGGCGATGTTGTTTTTTAAACAATTTAAGCTTTGCTAGGTATGAATAAGTTTGAATGTTTTTGTTATACTGGATGGTATGCTTTGCTTGATTTATTACTTATTTTGCGTTAAATTATTTTTTTGTTTTTCTTCAATCCCGATTTTGGCCTAGTCGTGAATTTTCTCCAACTCCCTTGGCTCAAGCCGAAAACGTCGACCAGTAAAAAGTTATTAAAACCTTTCTTTTGCTCACGCAATATAACGAAAAAAATATTAGTTTGTCCAATCAATTTAGAGCCTCTTTAGGACCTGTGGCAACAGCGGCTACAAACTGCGTCAAAAAGAAACGTCTTCTTTTGTAAACTGTCTTACGATTTTACTTCAGCATTTTACTGACTTAACCTATAAATTGGGCGCATCATACAACAATTACCAAAGGAATATATAACAGCAAATGTATGCCTCTGGTTTATTGAGTGCTATTTTTCTCTAACAGGGCTCTAGTTTTCCTTTTGGATCATGTCGCAATCCCCAGGTAGGGAAAGCTGAAAAAACCCTTTCTAAATTAACCCATTGTGATGTTTGCAGACCAGAAAGTGATAAAACTGAGACGCCTAACCCGACCTAATGAATTGGTGGACTCCCAGCTCATCAACCGAAACCTGGAACCATTGAGGCAGAATAATAAGAAACAGATCGCCCAGCGCGTGTACTACCAAAAAAGAGGGGAACATCTGAGCCCCTTGATTCGGAACCAAAAGGACCCGGTACATCTGCGGTTGGGCAGCAAGCATGTACAGTTTAAGCGGCTGGTTCCTTTGGGCACCAACACGGCAAGCCTTCTGCCAAAGATGAAGAATACTCGGTTGTTTTTTCGAAACAACAACTCCAAACAGCCAAACAATAATGGTGGCACGAAGGTAGACGACTGGAAATGTTTTAGTGGTTCCTTGCCAATTGAGCACTGCTAATTTTGCTTTTAGGTAGGCAACACTCCCGGCCAGTTCAGGAAAAACAAGTTCAATCGGATGTACTCAGCACAAGCACGGCTTGAAAGGATCCGACAGAATAATCGCATAAAGAATTCACCTATCAAGCTACGAAGACTGAACACGCAGTTACCGCCAGCAACTGATCTAACGGTGCATGTGAAAAACACAAATTTTGTGCCTCCGGACCGAGCGATACAGTACGAGAATGGGGTGCAGAAATTCAAAATGATTCTAGACCCCGTGATTCAGCAAGAAATCGCCGAAGTGCAGCGATCGAGTAGCGGTTCAACCGATATTATATTGCCAACAACGCGAATTACTCCCGAAGTAACTGATCTACCCATTACCACAAGGTTTTCCTTACTTTAATTCGTTAATTATCGTTAAATTTGCATTAAATTTACGAGCAATTTTCAGTTGAGTTTTTGTTTATTTAGGTAATGGCATCTGCTGATTCACTTCAACAAATTATTCTGTATGATGAATAAATGTATGAATACGATGACTCAACGAAAGGGAATATTTCCAAATGGATTTGATGCATGTTTATTTTACTTTATTACTTTCTTTGTATTATTTTTCCTAGCTTCGTCCATTCCGCATGGAAAAGGGGCATTGGATCAGTCCGCGTTAATATTGCACAAACATTGGATGAAACACATTTTATTATTTACCAGAGCCCTGGTTGCACCTATAAACCAACTCATGTATTTTTCCAATAGTTGTTGACTAGTGAAATTACAGAAACGTAAACTTTTGATCGTGTTCTTTTTTCATAAATCCTGCTCCTCTAAAACAATTCAATTTAGAGCTTTTATCTAAGAGGATTTTTTGATGTGAAAAACAACGGGTTGTTAACAAGTTATTAATTCAAACTCGATTACGCTTGACAATAAATCAATTTTATTTTTTTCTCAAAACATTGCGTCATTCACAAAAAAGTCAGGAGACATTTTCCAGTGGAAATTGAGCAGGGAATTGAAAAATAATTTTCATTTAAAAAAAATCAGTGGCGTATCACTTTTTTTGCTTAATTTTGTGGAAAGATGTGCTCTTGTCCATGCAATGGGCTAAACTATTGAACACATTTTTACATTTCAGGCGCCCAAAGCTTTCTATAAAGAAAAGCTGATATCAGTGTGCGTATTATCTTAAACCCACTTTTGATTTTCCCAATATTGCGAAAATAATGTCACCCTATTATTTTCGTCGACGCTAACGGATAGAAGCAGTAAATCAACATTGAAGACGCTGCGAATTAATTTTAAGCTAAAAAGCTGTGTCGACTATCATATTTGCGATCCTCATTGGCGGGGGATTAGTTTAAAAAATATGACATAATTTATACTTTTATTTTCAATAACTTTTTATAATATTGAACACGTTACTTTATTATAAATCATTACGTATTAGTTATAAAAAGTCGCGTGTTTGTGTCTTGTCTAGGCGCTCAGGCACGGACTTTCCTTAGAAGGCAACAAAAACAGTCCAAAACTCCTCAAATTACTCCCATTTGATTGCAGTTAAAGGCAACTGGTTTGGTCAAGCAACCAACACACTTTATGGGAATAATGGAAAATATTGTTCGATTATAGTTTAGATATGAGTTCTTTGTTCAATCCTAGTTTGGATTATTGCTACCGCACAAAACCCCATTTGGTTAATTGTTCATTTAAATTGCTTCTGCTATCTACAAACGTTTGTATGCGGTTGGTCTGCTCTAGTCATACTATTCACCTGGCCAAGCTCGATGTATTTTTAATATTTATTAGCAACAATTAGCATTTTTTGTGTCCGGTTTTTATCAGTTTCGCGTCAAGGATTCAGCAAAATGTTTAATGCTACATTCAAACAGGCAAGTAAGTTTACTAATTGCTCCATGTAAAATAACAACAAACAAAGTTAAAAAACGCCAAACAAAATCAATGTGTCTTAAAAAGAACTGCGGTTGGTGCAAATAATCTACGTATAATCCGCGCCACATAGTTGAAGGCCGATTTGCGACCAATAGCCGTTCAGATACAGATGCGTTTCTGTGGAAACGCCGTAGGTTTGGGGGATAAGTTTCTATGCACCAACGATGTTTTTCCATGATGATTTTGAGCACATTTTGCCAGTCCTATCGTGTGAAGTCCAAGCGGAAACATTCGATCGGAACCATGATTCATTGAACAGATATAGACAACAATAAACTAGATATCAATAAATTGATTAACAAGCCGACAGGGCGTTTATAAAAGTGTTTCCAAACCGCTTTGGAGCTGGATTTATTGGTTTCGTTTGGGATCGGATGTTTTTTGACTCAAACGAAGTAGTTTCTGGTTGGTCCAGTCGAAAACAAGGGTAAGTCATTCTGAGAGGGTTTTTTGAACAGTTTCCAGCTATTTAGGCAGGAACATTTGGACAAAATCGTTGATAAAGGTAATTTCAATGCCAACTGATTTTTTTGGAATTTAAATTTATACGGTAAAGAAGTAGAGAAGGTTTTGGACAAAAGTTCCATACAATTTTAAGTCGGTTGTGAAAATTAGCGGAAATTTTCGCACAGCTGCGATTAACAGGTGTGGGCGAAATCCAGATGCTGCGTCCCTCCTGCAGAGTTTGCGCCCCAGTTTGAGGCCCAAATTGGCGGCCTGATTGTGTTTGTTAACAGTCAATTTTTTTATTATTCAACATTGACAATAATTGCACGATACGGCTTAGTTCCATGCATGCAGTCAGTGAAAGGGATCCGGATTTGCCAGAGCGACGTCGTTTCCTGTTGCGTCTTGATCTGGATTTCCAGGTAAGTCCAGGATCTGGATATATGAGTGCGGTATTGATCTGGTTCTGGAAGGGCCGTCATTTACCTTTACCAATAATATTTGGATAAAACTTGACTGGTTTGCAAATTATAGGAGTCAAAACAGGCCTAATTATTTTTGAAAAATGAACCTTCCTTCTGTTCTTCGAATTCTCCTACACAAGCTGGAAAACCAACAAATCCCCCAATTAAGGAAAACGGTAGAAAACTGAAGAAAACCCCAAAAAGTGACCAATTAACGATCAAAGATGAATTTTTCTGTGAAACTTTGCCAAACGTTCCACTTTTTTCTGGCGCAAATTTATCACAAAATCTCTATTCAACTACACGCTTTGGAGTTGTAAAACCAAAAAAAAAACGCTTGTTATATGCTGCCTTTCAAGATCTGCCCGATATGACACAACTTTTTATAAGTACTTTGATTTTAAATCGAAAGGAATGTATATTGTTCACATTCCGTTTTCTACAACTCAAGTGGGAAATATTGTTTTATTCGTTTATAATCATGTTTTTCGAGTATTTATGGCGTTTATTGACTTTGGAAAATTTATGCGAAACATCACTGATTGCTGATGATGCTTGGCGGGTTGTAAAGCGTTACGTACATCGAAATAGAACACGCCCACCAAATCCGATTGCAGCAAATATCGGCTCTAAACCGATTGGTTCTGTAACAAAAAACAGTGAAATTAACAGCCCAAAGCCAGTTTTTTTACGATTCGTTTATCGGAACCGACTTAAGACTGGACACATTTATTGCCTCAATTCGATCACCTTATCCAAATCTTATTTTATTTTCCTGCGGATTTATGGGATTACTGTGACTAAAACCCTTCGAAAAGTACACAGAGCTTCCCATTGTCTCAGGTTACGTGTGTAAGCATTGTTCCGCCCATTGTTTGACACTATTTATTCACTTTTCAAAAGAATTTCAATCCAATACGCGAAGCTGGGCTGCGTGGAAGATTATCAATTTTTTGAGCCAGGGAACAATTATTATAAAGCACGTTTCGCTAGCATAAGGGACATGCATCTTCAAAGATAGTAGAAGGTTTCACCGTGACTTTCCTGCAAGCCAGGATTTTTTTATGCATAAATGCTCCAATTTTGTATATGATTGAGTAATCGGTTGAAGTGCTAGAATATTTCGAATTGAACCCGCAAACGGGAGACAATATTTCAAAAATTTCTGCCTCCGGAACCGAAACCCGTTGAACCTTGAATTTTTTTCGACAGCTGGCTTAAACTCCAGAGTATAAATTGTGAAAATTGCAATGGCATTGAGTTCCAGACTGGCTTTCTAGAAGGTTCTGAATTGAGGGCAAAATTGGCAAGTTTTACAAGCGGAGGCCAGGATTTCAAAAATTCCTGTCTACTTAATCAAAGAAGGTAGAAATCCAAATTTGTTTCTGCATCTTGTGGAAATCCAGCTGTATAAATACTGCAAATTGCAAMCAAAATTGCGACAAAGACTGACTTTCCACAAATTTTTGTTTGAGAGCCWCATTTGGTGCAAAAATTGSGGSCAGGATTGAAAAAAAAATTYCCGGCCGAATGAAACGAGATTGAATGGAAATTTATTCTGCGACTTGGWGAAGCTTTAAACTATAAATCTTGTAAATGGCAGCTTTATTAAGTTCCGGGAAAGTCTGAATTTAAGYCAAAAATTGGCCGGCTTCACAAACTGCTAGCAAAATTTCAAAAATTYCCATCTACTGAACGAAMCCAGCTAGTGACTTGAAAGTTTCATCGCCTGTTTCTAATATCCAAACMTATAAATTATGCGAATTAGGAGAATATTCAGTTTTAGGCTGATTTTCCATAAAATTGAAAATCGAGGCGGGTTCCAAAATATGCGGCCAAGATTTWAAAAAATCCTGCAAAATGAACYAAAGCTGGTGGAGACTTCAAGTTTTGTCTGCACGTTGTTGATATTCAAAGTCGTAAATGCCGCAAATTGGACCAATATTGCTATTGAATATCTCCTAGAAAATTMCAAACTCRGGCTGCAAATTGGCAAGTTTGAAAAATTGCAGGCAATATTATGAAAGYTCCTGCCGACTGGAAGAAAAAACTRGTTCACTTTGAAWTTTTTTYCTTRAAGTTGCGCAAAAACAAARGTACAAATCCTGATAATTGCAGTAAAATTAGGTCGCAGACCGACTTTGCAGAAAAATTCGAAATGAGTTCTCAAACTGACGGTTTTCAATATCAGMRGTCAATATTTAAAAAAWTCTCGTTTGCTGARCTAAGGCAGGTATAAAAATTTTTCTGCACATTGCTGATAGTCAAGAGGAAAAATCCTGCAAATTGGAGMAACATGGAAYTTTACGCTGGATTTCCAGAAAATTCCAAACTGATGCTTCRAGATAGCAATTTCCAAAAAAACTGCARGCAATTTTGCAAAAATTGCTGCCGACTGAACTAATTAAGCAGGTTCATGCTTAATTTTCCTTCTCCGAGTTCGGAAAACCCAAATGTGTAAATGAGCCAAATAGAAAGAAACTTGCGTAAAAGTTAATTTTTGGGAAAACCCAAAAGTGTTAATACGGCAAATGGGAACAAAATTGGGTACCCGAATAATTTTCCAGAAAAAATAAAAAATACCTGCATACTATGCCCAGATAGTTAAAGACCCAAACATGTTTCTGTAAGTTGCTCAAATCTAAACCTGGAATTTCTGCTACTTTCACACAAAGTCTCCAACTGAAGGTACAAATTGGCAAGTTTGTGGCCAAAATTTCGAAAATTCCTGCCAACTGAACCCAAACAGGTGCAGTCTTGATTTTTTTCTTCTGTATAGCCAAAACCCAAATTTATGCATTCTGCAAATTGCAACACACTCGGACTGCAGGCTGATTTTCCAGAAAATTTTGAGTAGAGATCAGAATTTAGCGAGTTTTAAAATCTGAGTGAAGGATTTAAAAAATTCCTGCTTATTGAACTAAAGCAAGCGAGCACTCAAAATTTCTCCCATTAATTCTTAATATCCAAACGTGTAAATACGGGAAATTGAGCATCGTTAAGCGTCAATCTGTTTTTTTGGAAAATTCCAAACTGGGGGCACAAATTGGCAATTTGGATAAATTGCGGAAAATATTTCAAAAATTCCTGTCGGCTGAACGAACACAGGTCGAGTTTTCGCTTTTTCTCTGCAATTTACGGAAACCCCAATGTATCAAATTTGGAAATTTGGAACACTATTGGGTTACTGGCTGATTTTCCAGAAAATTTCGAAATGGTGCCAATAATGAGCGACTTTCAAAGTCTGCGGGAAAGATTTGCAAAATTCCTGCAGGTTGAACCAGAGCAGGTGGGGACGCCAATTTTTTTCTGAAGATTGCCTATAAGAAAGCATGTACATTCTGTAAATTGCAGCGACGCTAAGGGTCAATTTCATTTTTGAACTGAGCCTCCAAATGGATCAAAAATAGTTTGGAAAAATTGTTGCCAGAATTTCAAAAATTTGTAGCGACTGAAGCAAAACAGTTCTTTGTTGCTTTCAATTAGGTAGTGAAAACGTTAACATATTCAAGCAGCTCAGAATGAACCATCCAGCACATAAAAAATGGTCAAGTCGGAGCTGCTAATGAATTTAACAAATCGCACAAAAAAGCGCGAAGTTGTCCATGTCAGGACTAGATTCGTAAGCGAAATGCAAATATCTCAATTCTAATGCAGTGCAAATTTGCACCTTTATGCCAGTCCCAAATGTTCTTTAGCTGCCGATTCCAATTCCAGTCTTGAAACATCGAAAAAAAATCACTTTTGAGTCGAAATCGCGTTCAGTTCACCTACGCAGTACCGCTTCTAGTTTCTGTTATTGTTATCTAATCTCATTAGCTGCTACTGCTGGCATTCGAAGATTACATTATTAACACAGTTAAGTAGTTCCTATCAGCAATTGATGGTTGTTTATCTTCATTGTTAATAGCATCGGTTCCGCATACTATTTTGTGTACCTGCCGATTAGACACACGTGGGAAAATCAATTAAACCGCAAACAATTTAACAGCCCAGATTTGCAAAAATTATTGCATTTATTGTTTGCTGTTAGAGTAATTAGCAGTAACATGAGTTCAATAAATTACCAAATGTGTACTGGCCGAAACACGCGCTTAGCGCACAAATATTGTTCGGTGCAATGTTAATGCAAAATGCCATAAACGGTTCGATAATCGGCTAATCTGCGGATATTAGCGACTCAAAATTGTCCATTCAAACACTTATCTATATGGAGATACTTTTACTGATCTAGACGAAGATTCAGCGGCTCGAAGTTTACTGATTCTGATTTTGCATAGGGATTTCTGGTGCATCGCCGTCCTTATCCAAAGGGTTTGGCAGAATCTGGATGGCGTTTCCCCATCTTCTAAATATGCAAAATTCCGCAGAATTTTGCGCGATAAGATTAAACAACCTTTAAAAGAGCGATTGCATGTGTCGAGTGACTGTTTTATTATCAATATTCGGCGTGTCTTCATCCACAAGCTAACAAGTGCAAATTAAACATTAGTTTTAACCAATTCAGACCTTTAAGTAATAAGCGCTATTTTTAGCGCAAAACTCGAAATTTACAAGTCCTGATCCCTTCTTAGCTACACGATGCTAATTGAAATCAAATGTTGCTATTAGTGATTAGCATCGGTCGATTTTTGCGTTAATTTTTCAAAAATTGTTACGTTTTCGAGCTAGTTTGCGATTACTGGTCCTTCCTAATTGTACCCTATAAAATCGTCGCGATAAAACACATTGTAATTGTGGATTTTTATGTGTTTATGACAATCGTCGAAAACCAATCAAGTATAAAATCGAGGTTTTTTGCCAGGACTCGCATTTGTGGTTCGGCTTCAAGTTTGGTGACCTGGGAGGACTTTTTTGCTGCATCTGTGAGTGTTTTCCTATTTTTATTCTTAGCTAATCTGGTTCAAACGGGTGTTGGACCTGAGCACTCAAGGCTCAGAATTTCAAGTGTTTCTGATTAGTTTTCATTGATAATTTTTGCTTTATTCCCATTCCATCAGACGCCAATTTAAAACAAAATTATAAAAATTGAAGAAATGGGTTCTCACCTAATGGGTTTTTTAATGTTTTGGAAAAAGCGAAAAAAATTGAGCTGATTTTGCCTTTTTAAACCAAAACTTTAAACAATTCGCAATTTAATAACTCCTTCCGATTTTATTCTTGAAATACACCGTTCAAGAAACTCTCACATACTGTTTAGAGTTCCTGAAAAGTAGTTAGATTCTTCATTTAATTGTCACTTTTTTCTTCAATTTTTAATTTTTCTTGGTTTTTATGTGAATGTTTCGAGGGTTTATAGAGGCAATACGTGACTCGATTGCTAAGTTCCTCAGCTCTAAATTATGTCTCATCATTAAAAATAATAATTTCTCAAGGTGGAACCTGTTAGAAGACGAGTTCTAGATAAAAATCAGTACTTAGATCTTTACACGAATTTTAATTCGAAAATGTTTCAAGAACATCCAGATTTTGGGTTTGATTAAATTTTTTGAAGAATCTAAAGTGCAAAAGAAGCAATATCTCAACAATCACTGTTTAAAACAAGAAGGAACAAGAAAACGTCTGCAATTTCTCAATTAATATTCGTGAATAGCATGAAGAAACCACTTAAGATATTTTTATAAAAAATCAAAAACGTAAAAAACTTCTTGGCCTTCAAAATATCGCATTAGAAGGTGTCAAGATAAAATTGATTTTCTATCTTGAAGAAACCAGATTGTACTTAATAAGATAAGAGTTTGGGATGTAAAACCGCTTTTTATTTCCAGAAACTACTCAAGTTTCTCAAGAGTTGACGCTTTTCGATATTTAGATTGACACTTTGAATGGTTTCTTAAGTGAACGAAACGAAAACGATCTTCCTTTTTGAGAGGTTAATCAAGTTTTTCAATTAAGCACATTTTTGACTTTTTGGAATTTTTATGAAAACATTTATTTTCTGAGAATCTGATTAAGTTGGTTTAGCATTGAAAGATTCGCCATCTTTTTAGAATTAACGTGATAAAATGCTTTCTTATCTAAGAGTTTGCTCAGGCTTCTCGCATTAGATTTAATGAGATAAAATCTCGGGTTTTCTTGCGAAAAGCTGATTATTTTTCTTTTTCTTTTTCAATTTCTTGATTTTGGATGCTTTTGTCCCTGAGATTGATAAATTGAATGTTGAAAGTTTCTAAAGTCGACGGCTCTATTCTATCTCGAAAAATTCTTAAGCTGTTCATATTTTGACGTCTTTGGCTCTTTAAAGTTAACTAAATCAAATCACTTTTTGATGAAAAATATCCAATTTGTGCCACTTTTTCTTTACTAGAAAGCATTGAATAGTTGGGGTTTCTCAGATTTTGAATCGTTTTGGAATAGAAACTTCTTAAGTTGAGAAAATGAATCTGTGTTTCTATCTTGAAAAAGTGCCCATGATTCAAAACTACTGACGATTAAAAAAATTAAAGACAATGAAAGTAAAGCACGATTTTACATTGAAAAACTGTCAAAGTTTTTGAATTTTTGACATTTATTTTACATCAGAATGTTATATTGAAAAGGTCAGCTGATTTATATTTAGAGCCCTAAAGTTTCTCAGATTTTGATTCTTAAGTTGATGAAACAAAAGCGTTTTTCTATCTCGAGAAAGTGTCCATGATTTGAAACTATTGATCTTTTACTTCAATCTGTCAAAGTCAATTAAAGGAAAACAAGCTCTCATCTTGAGAAACTGTCAAAGTTTTTGAACTTTTGACATTTCTTTTATACCAGAATGTCATATTGAAAAGTTGAGCTGATTTATATTTAAAAAATTAAAGGTTCTCAAATTTTGATTTTTGAGTTAATGAATCAAAAGTGGTTTTCTGTCTTGAGAAAGTGTCCATGATTTAAAACTATTCTTTTTTATTTTTCAAAATCAATGAAAGCGAAACACTGAACTGAACGTCGTTTCTGAACTTTTTTATACACTAGTTTGCCATACTGAACAGTTCCGCTGCTTTTTTTGACACATTTTCTAGTTTTTTTCAGACTTTGACATGTTTCTACAATTAAACTTTCAATTTCTTAACGTGAGGAACTGAAAGCGTTTTTCTACCTTGAGAAATTGTCAATGCTTTCACACCATTAAAGTTAATGAAAGTAAAACACGTTTCTATCTTGAGAAACTTTGCAAGATTATGGACATTTGAACCTTCATCTTTCAGAAACACTTTGTATAGTGAGTGCTGCCAAGTCTTCATAAATTCTTGAAGGTTCCTGCCGTTTTCGTCCAATCAAAACAACACACTTTAAACTCGAGAAAGAGAAATCGCGTTGGATCTCGAAAAAATCTACAGGTTTCTAATTCCTACCGTTTTCCAACCTGTGACTTAAAAATTGGCCAAAGTTTCCTTCGAATGGTAAAGACACAGTTTATTAAATCAAAATCAAAATATAAGGAGAATATTTAGGGATTTCACCTAATCAACTTTCATCAGCGATTTGAGACGCCAAGTGCTTTTATCTGATTGCCTAACAATTTTTGGCTGAACACTCCATCAGGTAAATCCGAGACACTCGTTTTTCCCTTCCAGGTGCACCACTCACATAAACCATCATGAACTCCTCGACTCAAGATCTGGAATCGAAAGGTGCCAGCAACGGTTCTCTGCCCAACATCGAAAGCCCCAAAGTCTACCCAATCAGATGGTGCATGCTGATCCTCTTCGTTTTCTTCTCGGCTTCCAACGCCCTCCAATGGATCCAGTACTCCATCATCAGCCCAGTGATCAGGGACTACTATGGAGTGTCCACTGATTGGGTCAACTGGACGTCGCTCATCTACATGATCCTCTACATTCCATTCATTTTTCCTGGAAGCTACCTGCTGGAAAAGCTGGTAAGTGGATGATCAAAATCAGATGTTTTCTCAAGGACGTCTGAGCCTTTTTTGTCCTCAAGCACTCAGGATGATTGACGGGCAATTTTAGCTCATTGGTTCATCGGCTCGTTGACCTTTGCTTCGCTTGATTTCGCTCCTGCGATGCTTGAACACTAACGATTATGCAATTTGGTTGAGCACTAAATTTTCTTTTCCAGGGCTTAAGGTTGGCTGTAACCATCGGGATTTTTGGTACCTGTCTGGGCGCCTGGATCAAAGTGGGTTCAGTGGATCCCGAGCGGTTCTATGTGGGCTTCATTGGACAGAGCGTGGTTGCTTTGTCTCAAGTGTTTGTTCTTTCGGTTCCTGCCCGACTGGCCGCTGTTTGGTTCGGACCCGACCAGGTTTCTTCAGCTTGCAGCATTGGTGTTTTTGGAAATCAGGTGAGAATTTCGGAATTATTACA